AATAATGATTTTCGGGAGGGAAGAAGTATTGTCCGCCGATTCGTGCGACGGCTTMTCGTACGTCCCACTCACATACACGTGTCCTTTCCTCGTTATGGGGAAAAGGYCGTGTCGTAATGGGGGATACGGGAGGCTGGCGCCTGATCGGAGGGTACTGGTCAGTCCACATATCAATCAATTGCAAAGACCTTGAGAGGTCATCAAGGGAAGAAAAACGCTCGCGCAACTTACAATCAATCCCTTTCGATACGAGAGAGAGAGTGAAAAGAAAGTGYCTCCTCAGCTTGAAGCATGCATATAGCCGAGAGATCTATTYGTGGCTCRGGTTTAGTGAGCCAACGCGGCRTGTGGTTCGGCTGCTGATGTCGTGCAGCATAAGGCRGATGGCATGCGCAACTCTTTCAWAGCTACAAATCTAAACACTCTTGCATTCTCRAACAAAATCCTGACGACGGTCGTCTAATCAACACGAAAAAGAGTCRCACATTTCCATACATGCATTCACTGTGGAAGGTGCAAAAATRAGACATGCACCGGAAAAAGATGGGTCGTATTGCACAGTACACACACATCCACCGTTCACAAGACAAGAAGGCGRGGTCCTTGCGTAGGAGGATTACCMAGGAAACTAATKGAAKAGTTCCGGAAGAAGTTYTTTTAAGCAAGGGAAGCGCAYCRATTCGCTCCKACTCAGGAGAGAAAGCGAGAGACATTCAATCGAGACACATCATTATTCAAAAGTAGAKAAATGAGAGGGGGGGGGAGGAGGAAAGARAGTCGAGATAGGTGATGACCAGATCTSGMAGAGASACATTCGACATGACCGCCATGCACTCACGCCAAAGATAAAGATCCGCAACAACAAAGGCGCATTYGYCGTTAATTCCAATATGGCCCTGGGCCAATTACTCACTCAACTCCAATCAYMGATCCTCATACCCRCACCGACGATCCCGRCCGCCGCGTGCTAACTCCCACCATTGCGATCGTCACCCCGCTGTCGTAAACTCGACGCGGTTCGCCCAGATCCCACAGTCCGTCGTGGCGATCCAACGCGCAACCGGCCAGCCAATCGTCAGCCCGACAGGACTTTCCGACTCGCATCAACACACTGTGCCTAACCACTGCTTCCCTGAAATTGGCTTAGGAGTCGAGAACGTAAGAGAGATTTGCGGGCCCGCTTGCGGGTTTTATAGTTGCGAGAAAGGAGATAGAAGGGGGAGAGAACGACGGGAAGGCGGGGGTGTAGGAGGAGATGGAGGAGAAGACTTTGAGAAGAGCGCTTCGAGAATGCCATGTTGATCCCTCGGAACTCAAGGTTCAACCAATCAGATTCGTCGCGCGATAGGAAGGTCCTATCAATCCACGCACCTGATTGGCGAGCGGGAGTTATCGGGGGATCGACCGGGCGTCGTACGCCAGACTCAGAGGGTGAGAAGAGAAAAGGCGCGAGAGGTGGCGCAAGACGGGTCCAAGATTCAGACGATCAAGAAAGGGAAGTGGGCGCGCAAACAGCAAGACGGGGGAGGGGGAGGAGAGAAAGAAACAGTTACGGGGAAAGAGAAAGAGGAGGGAGAAGGAAAGGGAGCGCGTGAGGGAGCGCTACAGGGGGCCAGAGGGGAGGAAGCT